AATCATTCTTGATAGAGATAAAGGAGTAAAATATGGTGTACATTGGAATGATGATAACCAACTAATCGATCCTAATGGTGCAAAGTTGACAAGCTACATTGGTACACTTACTCGTATGCACGTTCCAATCACCTTAGATAAATGGACTAATAAAGATTTGGATTCCTACAAAGACAAAATTAGGACTGATATACATGTACCATATAATTTAGCTTTAAAGTATAATGTTTTTGTTATTTTAGTCCCTAACTAAGTAAGGCTTGGGAATTTCTTATATGTATGCTTAATATTTGTTCCCTTAATCAAGATCACATGGTAATGTCTTTAAATTACTTATACTAACACACTATAATGCGTATGTTTTTTCGTAGAGGTCTTTTAACATTGAAGATAACCGAAAAAATTATTGTCTTCAAGTGGCCGGAAAAAGACACAGAGGGTGGAGAACTTTTTTAACAAACAAATTTCTTAAGGATGAGCAAGGAAATCTTGTTAAAGCGGATCGTCCAATGAAGTATAGCAACTTCATTGGACCCGAAGAATGGGATGAATTTGTATCCAAACGAATAGAAAATGAGAAATTCAAGAAAGTGAGTGACACAAATTGCGAGAGAGCATCAACACCCACGTATCCATACAGAAAAGGGCGTTTGAGATATGCACGCTTACAACAAAAAATTGTAAGTATATATAAATGCTATGATATTATTAATTGTCTCAATGTGTTATAATTGATGATCTTATGATTTGTGTCAATGCGTAGTTAGAGGAGACGAAAAGTGACGAAACATCACTTCCGACACATGTTTTATGGAAGGAAGCTCGTGTGGGCAAGGATGGAGTTGTTAGGGAAGATGTTCAACATATTTATGATGAATGTGTAAGTATAACATTGTGTCTTTAAGTAAATCAAAAGTTTATTAGTATATACTTAATTTTTTATCTCCACTAATAATTTTCGATATATATGTAAATAAATTTCAGGAGACTCTATCTCAATCGGTAACCACAGATGAGGACCAAGATAACAGGAGCGTACTTAGTCGTGCACTAAATGTTGCTGAGTATCCAGGTCGGGTGAGGGGTAAAGGACATGGTGTGACTCCATCTTCCTTGTAAAAGCACCCAAGGAAAAGAAATCCTAACAATCAAGAAGTGATGCAAATATTGGAGGAATTAAAGGCGCAAATCCGTGAATTGCAACAGGATAGAGAGAGATGTATGGCGCAAAAGTGCAGTTCAGAGGCGAAAGAAACTAATGACAAAGCTAGTATCAATTGTCAAAATAAATTTTCTGAGGTAATTATATATGTTATTATGAAATTAAACTAGCACATTTATTTTAATTGACATATATACACATTAATAATAACATATTTATTATTGGTTTAGGGCATTTCATCTTGTCAGATATACTTATTGTCACCGACTTATCGCTTAGTTGGCAAGGGAAAAGTGAATAACACTTTGGGAGATTTATTTCACCATAGACCGCTCCCTGATGGACATCTGAAAGTATCAGTTGATGTTGCATTAGATCTGGATGCGTTGCTACCGGTACCTGACATTATTTCATAGACAACATTGCTACTAGATGCAATAGGATCATTTGTTGCATGACCGTCAGACCTCATTTTCATAGATGATGAGGTATGTTGAAAACCATTATGAATTTTTTAATATTCAAGTTTCAATTCTGAACCATTACGTGCATTTTTATTACATGTTAATTTCAGACTCCTACAAAACCCGCATCTAAGAATAAAGAGATTTTGTGGCACAACGAGTCAATTGCATCACAAAAAGAGGTACATTTAAAGTGTTAATTATATGATCCAAATTCAAAAATTGCATGATTTTATAATTACCTAAGTTATATGATTTTTAGGTACCTGCTCAACGATCACAACAAGTGAGCCAGAAATTTAGTAGCGTACCCAACAAGAAAAATGATCTTCCAAGAACCGGGGCAAGAAAACCTTTTGTACCTCGATTCCGGATGTGTCTTGAAACACTTGTGGGAACATCAAATTTGATGAATGGTGATATTCGTCAAATGGATATGGAGGAAGGTATATTTGGTTTTTCTTACTTCGAAACAATTACAAAAGAGGAAATGGAACAAATTTTCCAGCATACAGAATTAGACATCGGTGTTGTACACTCATACATCCGGTAATGCGATCAATCTATTATTTAATTAGTCGAACAATTTATTTACACATTTCAATAAAAATAGTCTAGTGTTTATTATGTTTTTATTTAAAGTTCTTGTATGAAAAATTAATGCGCGGGAATCAATTGTCAAACATATTCAATTTCGTGTCTGCCTCCCGTGGCAACGGAGCGTCAATTGTTCAGGATCCAGATTCAGTAAGAAATCACTTAGTTGAGAGATTCATGGCCAACAATACAAAAAGCTTGTATCTTTTACCGTATAATACGATTCCTGTGGGGTTAGTACTTCATTCTAAGTTTATTCTAATCTTTATATCTTTTGTGTTGAATATTTTCATCTAAACTTTTGTTTTAATTTATAAACATCATTGGTTGTTGGTTGCTATTGATCCTTTCAAAGAAGTGGTGTATTATCTGAATTCGGTAGATGGTGAATGGAAAAATTATCCAAATATGAAGTTAATGATTGATACGTAAGTGAGATTGTTCTAAATATTCGTGTGTATTTGTATATTTAATTATTTTTGTGAGATTATTCTAAATATATGTTTTTATTTTGTTAGATCAATACAAGTATTCCTCTCTCAAAGAGAAGCTCGAGTATCACAGTCTAGATCAAGCAGTATTACATGGATCAAAGTGGAGGTACATTAATTTTCACAATTTTGCTTATAATAGTGATGCTACTTGATAAAACAAGACATTTATACATTCTTATTTGTTTTTCTATGTAGTGTGCTCAACAGCGTAACAATATAGATTGCAGATACTTTGTTTTGAGGTTTATGAAAGAAATCCTTCTTTTGAATCGAATAGAGATTCCAATCACGGTATGGATTTATAACTTAGGATTTATTTTAATACTTATCGGATATTTCATATAATTTATTGCTTTTAACTAAATCATGCATATTATGTTTTGTTATGTAGTACTTTGATGAATGCAAGTGTGCTCATTACACGAAAAATCAATGGGAAGAAATCAAGGAGGAATTGTGTGAATACTTTATTCAGAAAAGAATCATATAAGGTATTGGAAGTTGAAAAGTGTTATGAAATTTTTTAATTGTGTTGGACCCAAGTTCGTTTAATTGACCGTGTTGTTCTGTTCATACCTTATTTGCAGGACCAAGACCGTCCGCTCGTCGGATTTTGGCGATTTCAGGCTGAAACGAATTTGGCACATATCATATATAAGTGGATTCGAATAGAATGTTTTGTTGTACTTGAGTACTATCATCTTTATACGAAATTCTTGGAGTTTGTTGTTTGAAATAGTCATAAATTTGTCCTTATTATAATGCATCCTCCTCCTACTTAGTAGCAAACATGTGAATTGAATTATAATGGTGTTTATATTTTGGTATTTAGTGGTATACAATGGTATTATAATGGTATATAATGTCTTTTTTTGTATGTAACGACTTCTTTGTTGAAACAAAGGGTCGTTGAAATGTTAGGTTTGAAGTACAAGTTTATGGGATTATTCCCAAAAATATGCCTTCTAAAAAAGAAAGGATACGCAACGTTTTTACATAAAAAATGCTTAAATTTACGTGAAGCAACGAAAGCGCTTTTTAGGAAAAAACGTTGCTAAACGCCTACCTTAGAAAGCGCTTTTCTAAAAGCGCTGCCTTAAAAAAATATATTAGACAGCGCTTTTGAAAGCGCTGTCTAAAGGGGATCAACAGAAAGCATTTTTTCAGGAAAAAACGCTGTTAGAGGCCTACCTTAGAAAGCGTTTTTTCAAGGAAAAGCGCTGCTAAAGAATACATATGGCAGCGCTTTTGCATAAAAAAAACGCTGTCTATACCTACGGCAACGCCACCATAAGCAGTGCTTTTAAGCGCTGCTAAAAGACAAAAAAACGCTTTCTTAAGTCTTTTTTAGCGTAGTGACTTTTGAAAAGTTCCTAAATATTGTCTCTTATATGTGATCACTAATTATATACATGATATACTTGTTTAGTCAGATTTAAGTATGCATTTGACTACAAACCATCCAATATCTACTGGTAATTTTGAAAGTTCATCTTACAATTTTTTTTATCTTTGAAGTGTTTTTGGTGAAAACACGTGCAAGTGTTGGTTTTGCTTCAAATTCAAATCCCACAACAATTTTGTGTTAAGTATGAATGGTGTTTATATATCTCAATAATAATATTCTCATTGCCAACATATATACTGAGCTAATGACTATATGATTTGGGCTAGTTAGGATTTGGCCCAATGCGGTTTATTTAATTATTTTAATTAATTAATTTATAAAAAAATATAATTAACACATTAATCCAGGCATAACATAATTAAAATTATTTGTTAATTTATTAGTTAATAATTAATATATTAATTCAATTACTAATGTCAAGTAATTAAAAATAATTTTTTTATTTTAATCATGATGTAAATTTCAGAAACCAGAATAACAGATTTTAAAATGAGAGGTTTAAAGATTAAAAAAATATAAAAGTAGGGTGATTAAAAATGCATTTAAGAAAATGATTTTAAGGAGGTTAGTGTAGTGTAATTTTCGCAAGTGGTTATTTTCATAACACAACAGTCTTCAATGGTGAAGTAATTTCGTCATTTCATTTTTCAACAACCGACACATTCTCCGTAGCTTCTACTCTACTCCGCACATCCATCAAATCCTGACTCGCTCACACTCCCACTCACCTTCTCCAACCGAGTCACCCCAACCGAGTCGTCACCAACTCAGTTACTTATTACATTGTTTCTCTACCTCCTCAACCACAACCGAGTCACTCACTCACTAACCTCCTCGCTCACTCAATTTCCACCGTGGCTCACAAACCGATACGAATGGATTCCTCTTCCGACGAAGATGACGACCACCACACCCTGATCCACCAGTACTCCACAAAACCCCGAACTCCTCCCTCCGCCACCGCCACCGCCACCGCTGCCGCGGCATTCCACGTCGAGGATCTCAACTCACGGTTCCAGCGACTCAATTGCAAGCTCCAGAAGAGGTACATTATCGCCGTTATCTTTCTCCTCATCTTATTTCTCCTCTTCTCAATTCCCAATCTCCGGCAACAATTCTCCGCCGCCACATTCATCTCCGATTCCGTTTCCGATCGAATGAAGGAAGCGGAATTACGCGCCATTTACCTCTTGCGCCAACAACAACTAACTCTCTCAACCGCTTTCAATCGCACATTCCAAACCAACTCTTCCGATCCGAACCGAAACCCGAACCTATTGGAAGATCTGAAATCTGCACTATTCAAACAAATTTCAATCAACAACGAGATTCAACAGATTCTATTGAATACGCATAAGACAGGAAAAAACGTGGTTGATCCTGAATTCAATTTCGGAAGTTTTGATGTTGGGAATTACGATAGATGTAGAACAGTTGATCAGAATTTATCTCAGAGAAAAACCATTGAATGGAACCCTAAAGAAGGGAGATTTTTGGTTGCTATTTGTGTTTCTGGTCAAATGTCAAACCATTTGATTTGTTTAGAAAAGCACATGTTTTTCGCTGCTCTTCTTAATAGGGTTTTGGTGATTCCGAGTTCGAAAGCTGATTTTCAATATGATAGAGTTGTTGACATTGATCACATAAACAAATGCTTAGGGAAAAAAGTTGTTATTTCCTTTGATGAATTTGCTAACGTTAAGAAGGGTCACTTGCACATTGATAAGTTTCTTTGTTATTTTGCTTTGCCTCAACCTTGTTATTTGGATGATGAAAAGTTGAAGAAGTTGAGTGGTTTGGGTTTGTCTATGAGTAAACCTAAGGCTGTTTGGGAGGATGAGGATACTCGGAAGCCAAAGAAGAAGACTGTTCAAGATATTATGGCTAAGTTTTCTTATGAAGATGATGTTATGGCGATTGGGGATGTGTTTTATGCTGATGTGGAGCATGAATGGGTTATGCAACCGGGTGGACCGATTGCTCACAAATGCAAGACGCTGATTGAACCTAGTCGGCTTATTATTCTTACTGCTCAGCGTTTTATTCAGACATTCTTGGGAAGGAACTTTGTTGCGTTGCATTTTCGGAGGCACGGTTTTTTGAAATTCTGGTGTGAACTTTATTCCTTTTCTCTTTTAATCTTTCATAAGATTATGGCCTGTATAATTGATATCCTGAATTTTATGTGTTAGAGCAAACTCTTACCTGCTTCTGCATTTATTTTGGAAAATGAATTGAATTCAAATTCCATGTAATCAGAGATTCCTTGCATTTATGTAGCCAGCAGCTCATAGTTGTTGGATTGAGATCAACTCTGATTTTAAGCTTAATGAATTAACTATAAAAGCAAACTTGAAATTGAAGTGGTCCACTCTTGATCCAACACTTTTGAGCTGCTGACTGCTTGAACTGTCAAATTTCTAACTGCAGGGATCCAAATTGAATGAATTCCTAACTGATATCTTATTACCTTACTTCTCCATTTTCATGTTTACAGTAATGCTAAAAAACCAGGTTGCTTTTACCCCATTCCTCAAGCAGCAAATTGCCTCGCAAGGGTGGTTGAGAGGGCCGATGCACCCATCATATATCTTTCTACTGATGCAGCTGCAAGTGAAACTGACCTACTTCAGTCACTGGTTGTGCTGAATGGCAAGCCTGTTCCACTTGTAATTCGGCCAGCTCGGAATATAGCAGAAAAATGGGATGCTTTGTTATACAGACATCACATTGAAGGAGATCCACAAGTAAGATGACAGCACTTTCTCAATTTTTTTTTTCATGTGGTTTATACTTAAATAGTGTAACCGACCTAAATTCACCATTGATATCTGATCAATTAAGATTACAATTTACAGATGAAAATTGGTAACTTGGTACTTTAAAGATAAAGCTTTTACCATATCTTAGAGTGGAGTCGGATTCATTGTAATGTGTAATCTCTCACCATTAAAATTTGTCTAAACTAATTTGATATATGTTGCTCTCGTTTTGAATGGTGGGAGAGAGAGATTACACATTACTCTCTCATGTGTAAATCAAATATGAGAGGATCCATTCCCGTGTCTATTCTAGGTAGTCTTATCTTGTATTTACAAAAGACTAATTTCTTGACTCAAGCTCCTGACGTTGTGCTTAGGCCCTTCTGTTACAATTTACAAAATATGTAAAAATAAATAAAACTGTCAAGAAAACTACTACACATATCCATTGATCATGCGTTTTCGATTGCATTTACTGTTGCAAGTTCTGGAAAGATTTGTGCCCCCATAATATATTGTTTGAAGTTTGAAGTGTAGTAAATGAAATCTTATCATTCTCGTCCTGTCATGGTGCTAAAAACATTTTACTTTCAGGAAAATGAAACTTTTAAGAACTGTAGGTCCTTAGGTATTCAACTCTGTTGCTTTTAGTTGTCTGAATTGTCTTGCAGTGTGAGATTGGCTTCAGTCTGGGAATAGGTTTAAGAATACTGCCAAATTTGAGTTGATTTGGCGTAGACACCAAAAAAATTTGCAGGCTGTAATGAACTAAAAACAGTTACGCACTTTTGTATGAACACATAATTGTCCTACTGTAATGAAAGAATAATTTTTTTTCCTGTCTCTCTTGCTTTTGCTCTTCTCATGTATTCATATATGATTGTTCTATTTTTAAAAAACAATGCTTAATTGTACGTGAGCAATTTAGCATAAAAAATGCACAAAAGTTAAGTGGCCAAATTGTAAATCACATCTACACATATATATCTTATTCTCTCTCCACAGTTTCACCCATATGTGATTTCTGTCAAACCACTAGTTGCTATTTTGTGCTAAACTATATGTGGGAAATATCAAAACCGCTCTCTTTCAATTTATTTTGGCTATGTTCATTATGAATACTTTCACATTGAAGGTGGAAGCTATGTTGGACAAGACTATTTGTGCCATGTCTAGCGTGTTCATCGGAGCACCTGGTTCTACTTTCACTGAAGACATCTTGCGGCTGAGAAAGGACTGGGGATCAGCATCACAGTGTGATGAGTACCTTTGCCAAGGTGAAGAGCCAAACTTTGTTGCGGAAAATGAATGAAGATTGAAGATAATGACAATTTCCTTGGTCTGTGGCTCAGGACTCAACACACTGTTCTACCATAGGTTTGAGTGTATTTGCTCATTTGAGCAGTCATGTATGATAATAGAATTTGCTCATTTGAGCAGTCATGTATGATAATAGAATTAGCAATTTTATTGATGAGTTTGCTTGTTATACATAATTCTTTTCTAACAGTGATTGTAATTTGTAAAATATATATACACACATTGATCCTGAATTCTTTTCACCTTACAGTATTGGCATTTCAACACCCCATTCTCATTTGAAATGGAACCTACCCATATAGCTTTCAACTGGTTTCTCAAAGATGGTGGTTGTGTAGGTGAATGTGGAGGTTTAAAGCATTCACATATGGTGTTGGAAAACAGAGGTTCAATCAGCAATTATAGTATTGTTGTGGTTAAAATGAGGATGATGATCATGACTTAGTTTCTCCAATAATAGTGACATAAGAATAAAAAATAATATATTCTACATATTTTTGTAAGATCAATTTTAATAAAAAATAGTGTTTATAGAAACTTTAACCAAAGAAAATATAAAAAGGCCAAATAAAAAATATTTATAAAGATTAAAGTCAAATAAAAATTCATCGAGACTAAAATTAAAAAGTGATATATTTACATAAACTAAAATAATTACATATTTAAATATAGGGTTAAATTTTTGTTCTTATAAATATTTCAATTTTATTTTTGGTCCTTACAAAAAAATGACATGTTTTTAATCCTATAAAAAATTTATGCATGCAGTGTTAATCATGTTATTTTTTTAAATTTTGAAAATTATTTAATTTTTAAGTTTTTGAATAATTTTTTTCATACGTTTACAATACTATACTAAATTTTTTTAATCAAATTTTATAATTTTTTAAAATAAGAAGAATTAAATATAAATTTTTAAAAATTTAAAAGATAATGATAAAAGTAATGAGAATCTCAACTTAGAAATCAAATTTCGAGTTCTTATTTTTCGAATAATTTTTTAAAATGTATTAAATATATTTACAAAATAATCATTCAAAAATACACATTAATTTAACAACAGAGATTAAAATTACGTGCATGATAATTTTGTAAGGATTTAAAATCTATTTTTTATAAAGATCAAAAATAAAATTTAATAATTTTATAGGAACTAAAAACATATTTAAACGTTAATAATATATATATTTTCATGATTATTTAATATTTAAACATTAATAATATATATTTTCATGAATACAGAGAATCACAACCACACTTAAACCATTATAAAGTTTTACGTAATTTCGAAAAAAATAAATTTTTGATAGGAGACATTACACTAGACCAAACTAAAAATATGCTAATAAAATAAATAAAGAAAAAGTAAGCTTAATGATAAACTTTAATTGTATTAACTATTAAATTTTATAAATTTTTATTTTTTATTATAAATCCAATTTTAAAATTAAAATAATCACGATAACATTAACCGAATCTTATTCTATTAAATGGAGTCGGTTACATAGATTAATTTTTGTCATTATATTTTATGATGTATCATATTTTTATCCAAATTATTAATCTTGAGATATTTCTTAACAATTTTTCTTATAGTTTTTTTAAAGTTTTTATCTTCTTCGATTTGTTTGTTTTCTCTCTATCTAGTATATTTTTCTTACTATATAATTTACAGATTTTATCTCTACATGCTCAAACCACCTAAATCTATTAATGTCCACTATCATCTCTACTATAGGTGTTATTCTGACACTCTATAATAATTTCATTTTTAATTTTATCCTCTCGAACTTTACCACACACCCTTGCAATATTCTCATCTCTGCTACACTTACTTTATTTTCTGTTGATTCTTAACCACCCAATATTCTATCCTGCACAAAATAACAAATCTTATCGCAGTCGTGTAAAACTTTTCCTTTAGCTTGAGTGATATTTTTGCATCACATAAAATACTTAATGTATTTCTCCATTTCAACCATCCAACTTTAATTCGATGGTATACATCCCCTTTTATTTTCACATCATTCTGTATTACGGACCAAAAATATTTAAACTGTACAACTTGAGGGATAATATGATCTCCAACATCCACCTCTAGGTTAGGAACACTTCTTCTTTTAAAGAATTTATATTCCATATACTCCGTCTTACCTCTGCTTAGACGAAAACCATGTGTTTCTAAAGCTTGTCTCCAAGTTTCTAACATTTCAATTAAATCTGCCTTTTACTCTAAGAAGGACTACATCATCTGCAAAAAATATGTATCTTGGTTCTAATTTTTGGATGTGTTACGTGAGTAGACCCAAAAGTAAGGTAAAAAGACAAGGGCTTAGAGTTGACCCTTGATGCAAACCAATTGTAATGGGAAATCGTATGTCTTTTCACCTTGTGTCTGAACACCAATCGATACCCCTTCATACATATCTTGGATATCTAGAATATATGCAATCCTAATCCTTTTCTTCTCTAGCTCTTTCCATAAAATCTCTCTAGGCACTCTATCACATGTCTTCTCCAAGTCAATAAAAATTAAGTGTGAGTCTTGTTGGTCAATCCAATACTGTTTCATCACATGGCGTAATAGATAAATCGCTTTCATGGTCGACCTTTCTGACATAAAATCAAATTGATTCTCAGTGACTTGAGTCTCTTTTCTTAATCTTCGTTCAACCACTCTTACCCATAATTTCATAGTATGAATCATACAATTAATCCCCTTATAATTTGCACAATTTTGTATCTCGCGTTGTTATTATATATTGAAACTAAAGTTCTTCTTCTCCATTCACGTGACATGCGTTGTGACCTCGTAATTTTATTAAAGAGTTCGGTGAGACACTCAATGCCTTTACCTCAAAAAAATTTCCACACTTCAATAGGTATGTTGTCTGGCCCAACCGCCTTACTACTACCCATTCTTTTCAACATTTCTTTTATCTCCTGTTTTTGAATCCGACTATAGTAATAATTATTCTGATCCTCTTCTCTAATATTGAGTCCGCTAGTGTCCGGTGAGATATCTTATCATTCATTAAATAAGTTGTAGAAATACGTCTTCACTTATCCTTTATATCTTTTTTCTTGAACTAAGACTTTTCCTTCTTCATCCTTAACACATTTCACTTGATCCAAATCTCTAGTCTTTCATTATCTTCCCTTAGCAAGTGTGTGTGTATATATATATATATATATATATATATATATATATATATATATATATATATATATATATATATATATATATATATATATTCTCTCGTTGGTTCCTAGAGATTGGTATAATCCGTCAAAATCTTGAGTTCTTGCTTCCCTCACCACCTTTTTGGTCTCATTATTGACTTTCTTGTCTTAATTCACCCAATATCTTTTTGCCACTTTTCTAATCTCGTGCCTCACTCAATAATGATTAAAAACTTTGTCAATAATTTACATAGATCAACTTCTGCCATAATGTTCTATCTAAGACTTTGATATTGTACTTGAGTCATACAGTTAGGGGGTGGCAAAACGGGTCCGACACATTAGGCATGTTCGTTTTTGCCGCACTTTAGGGTGGGGTGACCCAAGGGTTTAAATCTGCATCCTCTAATGTGATTGTCCTTCTTTTTTTTTGCGGCTACATGAATTTTTGTATTTTTAGACCTAAAAGAAGCTGTATTTGCTGGCCCGCCCCGCCTCACCCTCACTTTTAGTGCGAAACTTGTCATGATTGTAAACTCGCATTCTTAAGTATGGTTGGCCCGTTCTATATCATATTTTCCAAGTTGTTGTGTAGCGGGCCTAAACGAAACTGACAACCTCGTTTGTCTCCCCTACATATAACGCATTGCTTACCGACAACGATCTAACATTCATGTTATTTTGTAATTGATCCATATTATAAAGATTCAATAAAAAATTATGTTGATTATCAAACTCTAACACGATGCTTTTTTTATCCGAATTTAGAAGTGATTATGCAAAATAAAGCTAAAGAATTATTTTTTTTTTCAAAATGATTAATATATTTTTCATTAACTACTAGTAGATATGTTTATAACACTTTAGATTCTAGAACTAAAAAAACGGAAAATAGAAGAAACATTAGCAATTGAGAGAGCAAAGGCTTTTTAAGTAGACGAGTGTGTCATTCGCTGACCACAACCGCAAAGCTCGCGCCGCTTTTCACATTCGTTTCCTTTCAATTTCAACTTCTTTTTCTTCCTCACACTTTTCACTTCTTCCCTAAGATTTAGGGTTTATCACCATGAGAGCCAAATTGATTGTCTTCCCCATTCGCGCCAGAAACTGGTGCTTCTCCAGATCCATTGATCGTTCTCTCCCTCCTCCTTCTTCATCCGCTTCCTCTCAATCACCTTCCTCTTTCAAAGAATTGTGGAAGAATGTTAACGCAGCTGATAAATCCTTCAATGCCAAAGCTGAACTCTGTACCGATTACTTCGCTGATAAGGTCTCGTTCTTTCCATTTCTTTATCCATTTCTCTAACGTGTATCTCGTTTTCTTGACATTGTTGCGTGATATTGTTACAGATGAACAATGGCTGGGTTACTCTGGAAAAAGCACCTGATGGATCTTTGAAAAAGAAGATTCACGGGTGAGTATTCCTTTTTTTGCTTAATTTTCATGTTTTTTTTTTGTGGAATTACTGTTATTGATGTTGAAATGTGATTGAGTTTTTGTAGGTTGGGGTTGTGGCTTTTGTCGAGGGTTAAGCCGTCGGAGATTTTCTTGAAGACGATATCGAAGGAAGTTACTGGCGTCGAAATCGTTTACCCGTCCAGGTTGGTGTTTAATCATAATGTGTTATTCTGTTTGAGTTTTTTTCGTTTTGCTGTTAATAATTTTCCTCTCTCGTTAGGGTTTATAATGTCTTTATTTGTGGTTGATCAGTTCGAGTGATCGCAGTTTTACTCATTCAGTCAATCAGTTTTATCATGTTTTTCTGCTGTTGTTCAATTCTTTGATGTTGAACATGAACTGGAACTGTATGTATTTTCGTATTGCTGTAAATAATTTTCTTCTCCCATTAGGGTTTTTAGTGTCTTTATTTGTGGTTGATCAATCCGAGTGATCATACTTTTACTCGTTCAGTCATTGGGTTTTATCATGTTATTCTGTTCTTGTTCAATTCTTTGATGTTTAACATGAACTGGAACTGTATGTATTTTGAAATGAGAGATACATGATTGTGTCTGGTTTTCAATCTTTGAGGCTCTACTTGATTGTTTTTCCTTGGTTAAAATTCCATTTTAAATGTGGAAGCTATTTTCTTTTTCTGAGAATCAGCTTTATTTTTATGTACTTGTACATTTTGTTGAAATTGTAAAGTCAATGGGATAATTTCAATTCGAATGACACATATTGGAACATAATGCGGATGCAAAACTAAATTCGAATGGTAATTGTGTTTTTTTTTCCAGTGTGAATGCTCAACTTGTTCGTCGTAGACTAAGGCATATTGCTATGAGGTAATACTTCTCTTTTCCTCACATTGACGGCGTTGAAACCAATTTGTTTGGGCTAAGCTGAAATGTATTACTGCAGCTTGTGATATAAACTTAAATGCTAGTAAATGCTAATATTTCTTATGATATGAGCTATTATCTGTTCACAGGGGCACAATTGTACACAGGAAATTCTTTTATGGTTCTGTTTCATTGATTCCATTGTCCTCTGCACTTAGTGTAAGTATGTGTTCTGTGAATGTTAATTACTCATACATATTATGGCTTTTTCCGAAGATTATCAGGATTGTGTTTTTGCTCTTTAGTCTAATGCTTATTCATTCTTTGCTTCAGTAGATATTAATGCCTATTAATTTTACATTACAGATTTTACCTTTGCCTAATGTCGCATTCTTCTGGGTTTTATACCGATCGTACTCGCATTGGAGAGCCCTTCAGGTTTGTGCCATAGATAAGTTTACCTGGCACTTGCTCTTCATTATTTTCCCTCTCTCACTTGTGCTAGTCTGTTTTTGTGATCTCAACCATAGACTTTCCTTTTGCCTGTCTCAACTTTCTAATCTGTTGAAGAATGCAGGTTATTCCTTGAAATAAAGATGGATTCTTGCTATATATTGAAGCTTAGTGTTCTCTTAATCTTCACAAGATGTTTATTTGTAAATCCAGATAACTTACTTATATATGCCTTTAAATTTAGGGTGGTGGTACTGAAAATCAAAGAATTAAAACTGCTAAACAAACATAGTTAAAATTTGTCGAAATTAAATTATACTGTTCTTGGATTGTGTTATCAATTTGTTATGGAGAAAAGTTTGTTTGATGTTGGCCTTACATTAGGATGATGTCATTTTTTATATTAGGTTTTTCATATATTGTTTGGAGTCTTTTATCTTGAAATTGCATAAGAATCTGCTTGGTTTTAACTTCAATTCTCAGGGAAGTGAGAAACTGTTTCAACTAGTCTCAAATAGCTCCAAGTCTTCAATTACTTTCACTGATAAGAAGGGAACCAAGCATAATGTCTCCAAAAGTGAAAGCCTTAGCTCAGATGAACCACATTGCGTAAGTGTACATATTCTTCTCTATTATTAATTGAAATACAGTGAAAAAAGTGAATTCAAAGCTGTATTAATTTTTCTTTTACAAATATGCATTGATTATATTTTGGATTAGTGAATTTATAGTGCTCCACCTTCATTACTCAATTTGAATCATTTCATGCATAAGTTAAAAACATGTTTTTAAAGCATCTGGCCTATTCACTCATTGTTAATTTACAGATTTTTTTAATTTGCTGCAGACCAATTTAAAATTATGTAATTTGCAACATGTCACCATACTTGTTATTTGGGTGCATTAGGTGTGCAATCATCTCATCACCTTGTTCTTCTCAAAGCTTATAGGTGTTGGGCAATTTGGTCCTTGAAATCCCTTGATAACATCAGTCCCTTAAGAGTTTAGAATCTGAAAGGACTAATGTGATAAGATATTTTCAGTTTTAGAAATCATTTTGGAATTTGGTTAATTTTAAGGATCAAACTAGCAAGACAATACTAGTGATTGATTTGCTCTTTTTTGAAAGGGTGATCAAAAACCCTCTATGTCATCATCATCACCATCAAGTCTTAGAATGGGGATGCCAATTGAGCTACAAGTTTTTAACCATGTAAATGCATTTTCACACGCATGCACAAAGCTACAAATCCCCATATCTTATTATTTTGGTGAACAGACTATCTACAAGTTTATTGTCGAACTTGATTCTTGCTCATCCGGTGGGGTGATACACAACTGATAAGTAAGAATCAGATCTACAATTTTCTCTCCTTTATCTAACAATCCAATTCTCGATGAATATGATATTATCATTTCTCTTTTTCCCAAGAGTAACCAAAGTAGTTAGAATAATGCTATTTTATGTGCTGGAATTCATTCTCTACTTGCTAATATATTTTATTTTTATTTTTAAATGATGTATCAATTAGATATTGAGTCCATCTGAAGAGCTTGAGAAGCTTGTTCGTCAAGAAGATGGAAATGATGGCCTTAGTAGAGACACCATTGCAGAAATTTGCAAGCTATACGATTTGAACACCAAAGATGTGATTAAATATGAAAAGTCTATTTTTTGATTACTAGTTTTGTTACAAGTTTTTGCATAGACATTTTTTTACTCAATTCTAGGGAGACACCAACTTACTCAAATGTATCAATGAATTTCTTAGTCAATAATGAATCTGTGATAGTGAAAGTCGAACAGTATGAATTTGTACAAAAAATTCTTTTAATGTGATTGGTTTCTGGATAGTTGAGGTTTTATTAGTATCTTAATAGTGATATTTCTGGATAGTTGAGGTTTTTGCAATGCTGATTGTTAAATTAGACACATTTACAGGCTATTTGTATAATGCTATTTTGTTTTGCCTATAAATAATATGCTACATTGTTATATTTTAACCTATAATTTTTTTAAACCAAAAATAAGCTGTTTCTAAAGATTTATCAACTTAGCTTTCAATATAGGATATGTATCTGTGTGATCCCATTATAAGTTTTATAAATTTAGCTTTCAATATAAGATATGTATATATGTGATCCCATTATTTTTGGGTGGAACATAAGATCCCACTATATTAAGGTTTAGTGATAAGTTGAAGTTTAAAGAATTAGTCTAGTTGAAGTTTAGAGTCTAGGTAGGGACAAATATAATATGTCCCAACATGACCTTAATATGATCTTTATGTCTTGAAAGGTCGTTCTTTTATCCGAGAAGAGGGTATTTATAATAAACATTAACCACATAATAATAGATCAAATGATTGACAAATTAAATTATTAACAACCCCGTTCAAGTTCCGAAGAAGTATGGACCAACAAAAGAGAACAACTCAATCCCTTTAAGTCTGAACCAAATAGATATGAGACCTCCATTGTTACCATAACATGAGCAAAACTCTAGCCATTGAAAGAATTATTCCAAAAAAAATGAACTAAGGAGATAGAGACTTTAAGCTTAGTCTCTTCAAATTTTCATGAAACCATGAGAGTTTGAAGAAATAAAGTCACGCACTCTATTATTCTTCACCCCATCCCAACTTAGTAACATTAATTTAATGTACCTCTCGATCATTAGACACCGGAATTAACATGTCACTCACTTATGCATTTACTTATACATGTCATCTCCCATCATTTATGTTTTTACTATTATACCTTTGAGAATAATCACTAAATTTAAAATTAAAAAAACATAATTTTTATCAGAATTTTGGAAATATCGGAAATTTTAAGAAAATTCTGATTTTTTGAAATTTCCGGAAGAAAAAATCAGAATTTTTGGAAAAGTACCAGATTTTCTAAAAAATACAAAAATCCAGTACTACACTTTTCATGAGAAAAAACCTGGAAATTTTGTAGAAAAATTGAAAATTTCAAAAAACTTCTGGAAATTTCAGTCCTGGACACCTTTCAAATTTGTTCAGAAGCATTTTTAAAATAAATCAAATTAGGAGATGGTATGTTTAATTTTAGAAGTGTCATGTTAATTTCTGTATTTATAAACTCTTCAGCGACCTTATTGATCTTATTGGTGTCAGTACACAGCAATAATATGAAAGAAACGGGTCACTATAGAGCTTAACGTAATTGACAAAAATGGGTAACAAACATTTTTAACTATTTATAACTACGTTTTTCTTTTATTAGTCATTACAGTAAATCTGACTTCCTTATGGATTTCTTTTATATATTTTGTCTTACTATTTAAGTGGTCACCAATACGGAAGAAAAAAAATACAATGCACTCTATTTGGATCGTGTGTTGATGAGCTTAACGCCTTCATTGGTTAATGAGATATATATAAAATGTAGTGGTCTTGAATCAATTTGGAAAAGTTAAGACATTTCAAGGTTAGTTAAAAAAATACAATCACTTGTTATATTTGACATGTATATACAATTAATCGGTAGCTTATTTTGATGGGAAATTCAACAACAATTAACCGTAACAACTCTAATAGAGCAATACTCAACGGATATAATTTCCCCAACTTGTTGAATCTGTGAGGAGCAACAACAAATAATGCAGCAACTAAAAATCAACAACACAAAGAGACACCAAGATTTTTAACGTGGAAAAAACCTTCTCAAAGTGAGAAGTAAAACAACCACGGGCACAAGCCAGTAAACAAGCTCCACTATGATTAATGTATGGGTACAAGAGAGTCTCAAATGTAGCACAAATCGTGTTCAACAATCAGCCAAAACAACAAGGCAACAAAACATGAAATAGAGAACAAAGAAGAACCAGAAAACTCCAAAGGACTGCTATTGTGCGTGGCCAATATCTTCCACCTTAGACCTCTGATCACCGATCACACCATTCATATTGAAAAACCGGATGTCAGGAACCTGCAGTTCAAATTTCGGCCAAATCAGACGGTGAACGAAGGAGATATCGCGATTCTAGTGCAGCTGCTATGTGTATGTGCGAAAATCTGTTTCTCTTCTCTTCTCTCACTTTTCTCTTGCCTCTCTTGCCTAAATCAGACCTCTCTCCCTTACCCTAATTGACCCCTCTCCACTTAGATAAGTGAGACACATGGGCTTGCACATATTGGGCCTTTCTCCACATAGGATGGGAACCCAAAACCCAATATATCTCCCCTTCACAACTATGTGGAGGTGACCTCCAAACCGGCGATCTCATAACAAGTTTCAAACTTACTTCTCGGTAATGCCTTGGTCATCATATCAGCATCATTATCATCTGTATGAACCTTGGCCAATTCCAACAACCCAGCATCCAAAGCATCACGTATCCAATGATACCTAACATCAATGTGCTTGGACCTAGAATGAAAAGTTGAATTCTTATCAAGATGAATTGCACCTTGACTATCACAAAATAGCAAGTATTTGTCCTGCACAAAACCAAGCTCCTGCAAGAATTTCTTCAACCAAATCAACTCCTTGCATGCTTCTGTAATGGCAATAAACTCTGCCTCAGTAGTGGACAATGCAACACATCTTTGCAATCTGGATTGCCATGCCACAGCTCCCCCTGCAAACTTAATCAAGTAGCCGGAAGTAGACTTTCTGGAATCAATGTCTCCAGCCATATCAGAATCAGTATAGCCCACAAGAGTAGGTATATCACCTCCAAAACAAAGCCTCAAACTGGTAGTACCATGAAGATACCTCAAAATCCATTTCACAGCATTCCAATGCTCTCTACCTGGATTAGACAGAAATCTACTAACTGTACCAACAACATGTGCAATATCAGGTCTTGTACACACCATTGCATACATCAAACTCCCCACAGCAGATGCATAAGGAACCCGTTACATATCTAATTTTTCAACTTCATTGGAAGGAATCTGATTAACACTCAATTTGAAATGAGAAGCAAGAGAAGTACTTACAACCTTAGCATTTTCCATCTGGAACCTCTGAAGCACCCTTTTAACATAGTGTTCTTGTGACAACCAAAGTTTCTTCTTGTTCCTGTCATGCATGATTCTTATACCAAGAATCTGATTAGCAGCTCCCATGTCTTTCATGGCAAATGACTCGCCCAATTGCTTCTTCAACCTGTCAATCATGGAAATATTTTTCCCAACAATAAGCATGTCATCAACATACAATAACAGGATAATGAAATTATCATCAGCAAACTTTTTAACAAAGACACAGTGATTAGAAGTAGTCTTCTTGTAGCCTTGATCACACATAACAGACTCAAACTTCTTGTACCACTGACGCGGGGCTTGCTTCAAGCCATATAGGCTCTTTCTCAATCTGCACACATAGTCTTCCTTGCCTTTAACAAGAAAACCATCAGGTTACTTCATGTAAATCTCTTCCTCCAAATCACCATGAAGGAAAGCAGTTTTTACATCCATTTGCTCTACCTCTAGATCAAGAGTAGCAGCCAAACCCAACACGATTCTTATGGATGACATCTTCACCACAGGAGAAAAAATCTCATTGAAATCAACACCCTTTCTTTGTCTGAAACCTTTCACCACCAATCTGGCTTTATATCTTGGAGATGTAGAATTGCTTTCTTGCTTTATCCTGTAAATCCACCTATTTTCCAAATCCTTCTTGCCCTTAGGCAATTTCACCAAATCAAAAGTGTGATTATCATGAAAAGACTTCATTTCATCTTACATAGCATCCAACCACTTCTTCTTTTCATCACTCTCCATGGCCTCATTAAAACACTCAGGTTCTCCTTCATCTGTCAAGGTAACATAGTCATCAGAAGGATACCTAGTAAATGGTTTCCTCTGTCTATTAGACCTCCAAAGTTGAACTTGAGGTGGTTCAGGAGCATCACCAAGATCTTCATCTTGTGACATCTCATGTTCCTCTTCAGCATCATCAACAGGAATATCTACATCATCTCCAAGCTGCTGGTCACCAACATCATCATGTTGCTCATCATTCTGAACATTATTTTCAGCAGTATCCAGATCATGTACAGGCCTCCGAACTGGATCAACATCAGACAAACTATTATCAATCTCTGGTGTAGTCTTCTCCATCTTATCAATCTCTTCAATAGTTTGGTCTTCCATAAACTTCACATCACAGCTTCTAACAGCTTTCTTCCCAACTGGATCATATAGCTTGTAGCCAAATTCATTCTGACCATACCCGATAAAAATAAACTGCCTTGTCTTTGCATCCAACTTGGATCTCTCATCCTTTGGAACATGAACATATGCTTTGCAACCGAAGACACGCAAATGATCATATTTGACATTCTTGCCAAACCAAATTCTGTCTGGCACCTCTGCATTCAAAGCAACCGCAGGACTCAGATTAATAACATGCACTGCCGTGTACAATGCTTCACCCCAGAAATGTTTAGGCAACTTTGCTTCAGAAAGCATACACCTAACTCTTTCAATCAAAGTCCTATTCATCCTCTCCGCTAAACCATTCAGCTGAGGAGTTTTAGGAGGAGTCTTTTCATGTCTGATACCGTGCTGCTTGCAATAAACATCAAATGGTCCACAATACTCACCACCATTGTCAGTACGAATGCATTTCAGCTTCTTGCCTGACTGTCTCTCCACCATAACATGGAACTCTTTGAATTTCTCCAGAACTTGGTCTT